GGGCTCCGGCCAGGTGGGACAGAGGTCTGACCGATTTCGTCCGCTAGCCTGGATCTCCTTGGTGACTGTCCTGCTCCTGGTGCTGGGCCTCAGCGCCTTCCTGGGCCTGCTGATGCTGAGGTGGCAGTTTCCCGAGCACTACAGGTACCGCCCCCCTAAGGCGGGAGACAGGGCTGTGGACTCGGCGGGGCCAGAGCCTCTAAACTGGCATCCTTGGGCCTCTCCTGGCACCCGCTTTCCTGACCACTGCCTGCCCACTCCTCTGGCTTCAGCTGCTCCCTCAGGTCTCCTCTGGAAGTCGCGCGGGCTCTTTACACTCGCGTTTGTCCCTAGGGTGGACACCTCCAACAGCCGCACGTCCTGGCAGCCCATCTCAGTGACAAGCTACTGTCCTCGGTTCACACCAGCCAGAAGGCAGGCGTCTGCCTCCCTACGCCTTTCTGCCGCCATCAATGACCCCTCGGGTCTGGCCGTTCCTCTCCTAAACCTCAAACAACGGCCTCCTTTCTCTAACCCTCCGGACACTAGCTGACTCAGGGAAACAGCCTCCTCTCCCTCCACTGCAGCCTCGCACAACCACCAGAATAATCTTTGTAAACTTAACGCATGAAGCTATCATTTTCCTCTTTGAATCCCGTTAGTAGCTCGCCAGAATAGCATCCAGACTCCACAGAATGACAAGCAAGGCTATGCAAAATCTGGCCCCTGTCAGCATTTCCACTTTCTACCCTGTGCATCAGCCTTGCCAAACAAACTGTTGGTGATTTCCTTCTCATGTCAGGTGTTTTACTTCTTAGTGCCTTTGCACAAGATGTCCCCTCTGTCTGTTGTGTATCCTCCTTGGCTGAGTAATCCCCCATTCATCTTTAAACTTTCTTCCCCAACTCTCAAGAAACCTTTCCAGGGCCAGCAGGTGGTGTGCTGGTTGTGGTGCTGGATTCCCATTTTGGGGACTGTGGTTTGAATTCTGACCAGCAGGTTGAGCATCACACTGGGCGTGTGTGCATGGGTGCCCAAATTTGGGGACTGCGGTTTGAATTCCGACCAGCAGGTTGAGCTTCACACTGGGCGTGTGTGCATGGGTGCCCAAAATTCCAAGAGGACAATGGAAAAAGGGTTGAGGCAAGGCCATCCTCTCTGGGGGGTGTTTTTTTACTCTACCTCTCTCTCTCTAGCAAGTGCATGCATCCTATTGTAAATTAAAACGATGAAATCTTTCCTGACTCTCCTCAGCGGTCTCTCTTTAGTGCCCCAGTTCAGTACCAATAGCATTTCACTGCATAATTTGCTTATATATCTTCTCTATTATACCTTACTTGATCATCTTTACATCTTTAGCACAGGGCCTGCTGGCAGGCCCTTAAATAAGTGTTATTAATGAATGACTCACTCTTGTGAGAAGACTAAAGCTAAGGAGAAATGTCATTGGAGGTTGCAGACAGGAGAGTCCATCCCACCTCAGTCCTTCAGTTGGTGACCTCTGCTGATTTGTGAAGACTTAGCTCAGGTGTCAGCTCCACCAGGCAGTGTCTTCTGATGGTTTTAATCTGGGTACCATTGCTGTGGGCTCCTATCTTTCTCTGAACATGTGTCTCTGTATGGATGAGCAGACTGGAATGTAGCCTTGGTGCAGGTAGCCAGACTGGACAAAAAGTTGGAGAAGAGGGAGATGGTGCTGCTGAACTGGGCATGCTCAGTTCCTTTTCCCAAATTTGCCAGATATATGTCACTCTTCCTCCTCTGGAGAGGAATAAGGTCATAGAGAGGCCTCACATGTTGTGTAGCAAAAGTTCCTCCACACAGAAACATGGGCGTCAAAGAATTGGAGGTTCCCCAACGTACCTTAAACCATACTCTTCCCAGACAGACCACCCTCCCCAGTAATTTAGTCATAAGCTCCACTAGTTCTCTTCACGTATTCATTCAACTAATTTCTTGAGTACCTATTACGGGCCAGGCACTATTCTACACCTTGGAGAAAGAGGAGTGAATAAATGGACAACCTCTCTGCCCCTGTGGAGCTGACATTCCAGTGAGGTGAGATAAAGACAATACACACACACACACACACACACACATACATATAACTCTACAAAATATATGAAAATTGAGTGATCTAAAGGAAAACAAAGCAGAGAAGGAGATAGAGAGTGACCAGGAAGGAGGTGGTACTATTTGGGGTGGGGTAGTCAGAGGTCTTCTCTGACCTCTATGTCAGGATAACATTTGAGCAGAGAACTAAAGGCAGCAAGAGGATAAACGAGTGTTCCAGGTAGAGAACAGAAAGGCAAAGGCTCTGAAGCGGGAACACTTAGGCAACCCTGCACCACCCCTGCACCACTCTTTGTTGAATCTGCCTATCATGGACTTCCATCTCCCGCCTGGGGCTGTCTTCTCCCCAATCCTCCTCCACCTACCTCACTGCCTTGATTGTGCTCTTACCTCTCCAAGCCTTTCCCCTCCCCAGCTGCCCGACCTTAATGCTCTCTTCATTCCTCCCAACTCTCCCATGATTCAGTCTCCTCCTTTTCCTTCTTCCCCAGGAGACTGAGGCACGCCCTGTGGCCCTCACTTCCAGACCTGCACCGGGTCCTCGGCCAGTACCTGAGGGACACTGCAGCCCTGAGCCCGGTGAGTGCATTTCCCTTCCCTGTCCTCACCATAGTGCTCTCTGGGGCTGGATTCTTACCCACAACACAACTTGTTCAAGGTCCTTGCCTCCTAGCATCCCCAGCTACTTCCTCCAGCCCAATTCTTCCTACAAAATTGAATCCCTGCTCCCTAGGGATCTGCTCTCATCCAAACTCCTTCCCCCAATCTCTCCCAGCCTAAGGCCACAGTCTCAGACATCTATGAAGAAGTGGAACCCAGCCTCCTTGAAATCCTACCCAAGTCCTCAGAAAAGACTCCCTTGCCCCTATGTTCCTCCCAGGCCCAGGTGGATTACCGAGGATTGCAGCCTTCTTGCCTGGGGACCCTGTCTGTGTGCCCACCCATGGTCGAGCCAGGGTCCTGCTGTACTACTCACATTGCCAACCATTCCTACCTACCACTAAGTTGTTGGCAACAGCCCTGAAGGCCCTTGCTGTCTAGTCCCTGGACAGATCCAAACCCTCTAGCTCTCTCTCCTAATCATCCTACCCTAGTCACCAACACACCTCAGACTCGTGCCCATTCCTCTCTGCCTACCCTTATAGCTGGGCTCCATAGCGCTGATCCTGCCATTCTGCTGACACAAATCCAGTACCTTTCTCCACAGGCAGCTCATTTGACTAAGTCCCTCTAAGCTCACCTTCCTTCTCCCTCCTGTTCAATGCCAAACTCCTTGAAAAGTCTGAACTTCCCCCACTTGCCACTGCTCTTCAGACCACTTCAACTTGTTCCTCTACTGCCATTCTACTAATGAAACTGCCCCGGCAAAATTCACCTCAAATCTTCTCAATACACAATCCAAAAGGATTTTGTCCATCACCAACTTATTTGACTTCTGTGGCATTTGTCATGATTAACTACTCATTTCTCCTAAGTTTTCTTTTCCCTTGGCTTCCACACCTTTACCTTCTTTCCTGGCTCTGCTCTTGCCTCTGTAAGAATACCAGCCAAGAGGGTAAACTGTGGAGTCACCTAATGAATATGCAACCTTGGACAAATAACTTGAGGTCCGTGAGCAGTTTTCTCATCTATAAAACAAGGATAATAACAGTATTCCCATTGAATGGTGAAGAGGATGAAGTGAGGTAACCTAAGTAAAACACAGTGCTTAGGACATGAAAAATGCTTAACGTATGTGAACTACTATTGCAACAATTCCTTCCTAACCTGTTATTCTGACATTTCTTCCACTCCATAATTATTGCAGTCCCGTAAGATTCCATTCTTAAGTCTCCAATCCCACCTGTTCCCATTGCCTTAAATATTAATAGATGGTGACGATTCCCAAGTTCCTCTCTTCAACTCGAACACCTGCGATGCTTTATGCAATCACTTTACATATCTGTCTCCCATTTCTAGATTGTGAGCTCCTTGAGGGCAAGGGTGGTGATTTATTTGTCCCTTTCCCCAGCACCTAGAGTAGTGCTTGGTGCAGAATAGTAGCCCTTCAATAAATGTTTTCTAAATGAATGAAAATTTTCTAGACAATGTTACCTTAATCCGTGCCAAAATGCTCATTCTCTAAGCTATTCATATGGAATGGAAATGACCTTAGACCATTCTGGTATGGATTCTCTAACCCAATTAAATTCTCAAACAAATTGCTTTTTGTTTTTGTTTGCTTGGTTTGGTTTTCGCTGACTCCAGACAGATCCACTGTATCAATCAGGGTCCTGGCAGAAGTGGATGGCACATTGAAACTGGGTAATTTGGGGTGAGTTTAACAAAAGGTATATTTATAATGATGAGAGCAAAATTTGAGAACCCCACTGAGGAACAGTACAGTACCCCAAGACTAACAACAATGAGCTGACACAATGCCTAGGCATTGAGAGGGTAGGGGAGGGAGTGGGGACCACATTTGGAGAGAGTAACTATCAGAGAGCTGCCTGGCAGGAGTTACGGCCTTTGGTAGAGGCATGAAGCCAATCTGTGTGGATAGGGCAAGGAAGGAGCCAGGGGAATAAACAATTCAAGCTCAAGCTCCTCCTACTCTAGTCTTGGGTCCTTAGGAGTAGAGTCAGAGCCTTTATTATGGCTGAGGAAGGTATTATGACAAGTATACATATTGGATGTCCACCTGCCCTGTCCTACCCTCCATCCAGCTCCACCTTGTCCTCTGCTCTGCAAGACTGAATCATATGGCATACATTTGTAGGTTCCCAGGGACTTTGGTCCCTGTTTGGGATCCACCAATGAGATGTTATGGGTTGAATTATATCTCCAACCCCAAAATTCAGATGTTGAAGACTTTTTTATTTTTTTAAGAATTATTTTATTTAACTTTATTTATTTTTAATTTGACCAAAGAAGGATAGAGTGAGAGAGAGAGAAAGGGAAAGTGAGAAAGCAAGCCACCAAGTCCAGGACTTGAATCACGGGCAGCCATGTGGGAGTCCAGTGCCCTTAACCACCATAATCCAAGTACTTCAATTGGGACCTTATTTGGAAATAGGGTTACTGCAAATGTAACTAGTTAAGATGAGGTCATGAGCCCTAGTCCAACATAATTGATATTCTTATACAAAGGGAAATTTGGAAACAGATATACTCAGGAAGAAAGTCAAGCGAACATGAGGCAGAGACTGGGCTGATACTTCTTCAAGCCAAGGAACACCAAAGAATGCCAGCAAACCACCACCAGCATGGGGAGAGGCATGGAACAGGTAATCCTTCACTGCCCTCAGAAGGAATCATCACCTTGACCTGGGACTTCTAGCCTCCGAAACTGTGAGACAATAAATGTCGGTCACTTAAGCCACTCGGTTTGTGGCACTTCGTTACACAGAGGAGCCTAGAGGAGGTGCTACAGAAGGAGCCTATGCTTGCTGGCTCCACACTCTCCCTCTCCCATTCTTCCTGTAACCCCTTCCAAATGGATCCTGAGTACCTACCTTCCTGGTCCTGTTCTCTCCGATGATTTGTTCCTCAGTGACCATATAATCTCCATTCACTTCTTTCATTCCTTTACGTTTAAATGTATAGGGCCAGCCAGGAGCATGTGGCTAGATCCCACGGAGCCAGCTGCACGTTTCAAGTCCCAGACCTGGCATCTTGAAAAGCATGCTGGGCGCAGGGGAGTGTGTGTGTGTGTGTGTGTGTGTGTGTGTATACATGCCCACAATTCTGAAAGGAGAATGAAGAAAGGACTGAGGTGTGGCCATGCACCCTGAGGGGTACTTTCTCACTTTCTCTTTTTCAGGCTAGCACTCTTACCTTCCAGCTAAAAAAAGAAAAAAAAATGTACAAATTCCCCAACATCACACTTTTCTCCTTCTCCTCTACAATTACCCTTAGTCAAGAAGTTGTAAGTTGCTGGGACCAGCAGCTGGTGTAATGGCTATGTCACTGGACTCTCATGTAGTCAACTGTGGTTTGAGTCCTGGACCCGGTGGATTACACTCACACCAGGTCGCACACATGGCCCATGCCCAAGATCCCAAAAAGAGAATGGAGGAGAAGGGACTGCAGGGTGGCAATCACCCCAGGGTGACTTCTCACTTTCTGTCTCTCTGTTTTTCTGGTGAGTGTTCTATTTGGCCCTTCTCTACACAGAAACCCTTGCCAGTTCCACAGTCTCTGCAAATAAAGCCCAAACTCTTTAGCATAACATTTAAAACCCTGACCTGACACTAGACTACCTTTCCTATGTTTTATAGGGTTCAGGGACTCCCCATTTCTAACCCCAGGACATCCTGCTCTTTGTTTTCCAAGGTAATAGAAAATAAACAATTGAAAACTTCAAAGTCAAAGATAAGAATGTTAAATTTGGACTCTTGTCATTAGGGCTGAACTCGGACCGGTGGATTAAACTCACAGTTGACTAATTACCGAAAATCCTGTTTTCCAGCCTGTTTCTGGGACAGTAGATGCATTCCTGTACACTGTCAGGATTGCAGGGATTAGTCGGGTAGTTTAGATCGGCTCCACTGAATGTGGGCTGTATGTCTTTAGGTAAGCTTCTACCCTAACTCTGACCCAGATTCTTTTTCTGTAAAATGAAGATAGAGTTATCTGCTTTACAGGATTAAAGGTTGAACTCAATAATACATGTAAATTGTTTAACATAGTAGTTAGCAGACAGTCAATAATTGGTACCCATTATTTTTATTATTGTTGCCTCACGTCTGAATTTATTTACACAATTCTTTCAAGGCATTATTAAAATAGTGGATTGAATGGGAGCCAGACCTAGATTACCACCAACTTCTTTGTATGACCTTGGACTAACTCCTTCCTCGGCCTATTTCTCCATCTGTAAAATAGGAGTATGATGCTGGGACGGAGAGGGCACCCCTCAGATCAGACTAATACCTAAGATTCCTGACACCTCTAAAGTCCCATGGAGGTAAGCCACTGTGTCTGTATAGGGCAGTGTAACTTATTTTCCAGGTAGGCAGGTGTGAATCTGATTCCTTTTTTTTACCTTAAGGATTCACTTCCTCTCTTTCGGTGCCATTTTCCCTGTTTGTAAAACAAACAAAACAAACAAGCACACGTGTTACTTCCTTCATAGCAAGGTTCTACTAGGTGCCATGCAAACAACGGATGCACCCTACCTAGCTGGGACCTCCCTCCTACTCCTAAGCTGCTCGACCAGGTCCCCTCTTACCCCGCCGGCCTGCCGCTCACCGGCCGCAGTGCTGGGGGCAGTGCTGCGGGTCACTCCACCGAGCTCTGCGCGTGTGTAGCATAACCCGCCCCACATGCTCTAGACCCTCACGCACCCGGAGGCTGACACTCCGACTGGCGCGGGTCAGGGAACGCCGAAGAATGAATGGAAACGACTCTAGAACGCAGACACACCGCGGACCCGGCTCCTCTGGCTTCCAAACTCCAATTCTCTGGAGCCGGCATTACTAAGACACTTTCTCATCCTTTAAATCACGCTCCAGGGTTGGACTCTCGTGAGATCTGCGCCTTGGGCCGGAAGACCCGCCCCCTTTGCCATAGAGGCCAATGGGCGTGGGTGACGGTTGAGACGGTTGGATTTTGAAGGAGCCAATGAGTGACCGGAGCGGAGAGTTTAAGAGGCGTTGTCCAGACACGCTGAAGCCGGTCGGGGATTGGAACCTGCTCGGGATCCCTCGGTGAGAAGCCGCTAGCCCAGCCGTGGCCGGGGCGCAGACCAGGGGGGGAAGGGCAGCCGCCGAGGGCGGCCCTGATTGTGTGCCCGGCGGGGAAGGAAGTACCCGCGCCGCCTCCTGAGCACAGTCGTTCTCTCTGGAATCCAGGTTTCAGCGAGCACCGACTCCAAGGATCCCTCCCCTCCAGGCGCTCCCATGGCGCAGTTCGTGTTCGAGAGCGACCTGCACTCGCTGCTTCAGCTAGACGCACCCATCCCCAATGCACCCCCTGCGCGCTGGCAGCGCAAAGCCAAGGAGGCTGCAGGGCCAGCCCCTTCACCCATGCGGGCTGCCAACAGATCCCACAGCGCCGGCAGGACCCCGGGCCGAACTCCCGGTCAGTGTGGTACGGCGGGACACCGGGCCGGAGAGGGATTGCTTGAGCGCAGCCTTCATGCCTCCTCGGACCCAGGAGCCTGGTCAGACTGGCTTCTCTCTCTCCCCTCCCCAGGCAAATCCAGCTCCAAGGTTCAGACTACTCCTAGCAAACCTGGTGGCGACCGCTATATCCCCCATCGCAGTGCTTCCCAGATGGAGGTGGCCAGTTTCCTCCTGAGCAAGGAGAACCAGCCAGAAAACAGCCAGACACCCACCAAGAAGGTAAGTGCCCCAGGGGCTCACTGCACGTGACCACCTGGTCCTTTGGATATATTTAACACTCTCTTGCCTCACCCCCCCCCCCCCCACCCTTCTATGCCAGGAACATCAGAAAGCCTGGGCTCTGAACCTGAATGGTTTTGATGTGGAGGAAGCCAAGATCCTCCGGCTCAGTGGAAAACCACAGAATGCTCCTGAGGGTAAGATCTGAAGTTCTTGGTCCTTGGAAGGAGGTGTCAGTTCATTGCAGGGCTGGTGTGTGTGTGCGCGCGCGCGCGTGCATGTCGGTGTGGTGTAGGAGGGTGTGGGCAGGGATGGATTCCTGTCTTCTCCCACCTAATACCGAGGCAAGGGAAGTATCCATTTTCCATTGCTGAGATTCTCTCCATTGCCACAGGCTACCAGAACAGACTGAAAGTACTCTATAGCCAGAAGGCCACTCCTGGCTCCAGCCGCAAGACTTGCCGTTACATTCCTTCCCTGCCTGACCGAATCTTAGATGCTCCAGAAATTCGGAATGACTACTGTAAGTGCAGCCTTATGCCTGCCTCGTGCATGTAGAGAGAGGGCCTGGGGGCCAGGCAAATGCGGACGCTCACGTGCTTCCCTTTCTGCCTCTGGCAGACCTGAACCTCGTGGACTGGAGCTCTGGGAACGTACTGGCTGTGGCACTGGACAACAGTGTTTATTTGTGGAGTGCAAGCTCTGGTGACATCCTGCAGCTGCTGCAAATGGAGCAGCCTGGGGACTACGTATCCTCTGTGGCCTGGATCAAAGAAGGCAACTATCTTGCTGTGGGCACCAGCAGCGCTGAGGTGCAGGTGAGACTTGTCCCTGTACTGCAGCCCTCTCGTCACTGGACGCAGGGCACTTTCCCAGCTGAGAATATTAATGTCTGGTCACAAGCTCTCGTGGTCTTCTCTCTCTCTAGCTATGGGATGTGCAACAGCAGAAACGGCTACGAAACATGACCAGTCACTCTGCCCGAGTGGGCTCCCTGAGTTGGAACAGCTATATCCTGTCCAGGTTAGTGGCAAAAGTCTGCTGAGTTTTTTGCCCACCCTGCCCTTGACTGTACACTCCTGAATCAAAGTAGCTCATGGCTTTGGGTGTTGCCCCAGAACCTAATTCCCTTTTCCCTCTCTCTCCCAGTGGCTCACGCACTGGCCACATCCACCACCATGATGTTCGGGTAGCAGAACATCATGTGGCAACACTGAGTGGCCACAGCCAAGAAGTGTGTGGACTGCGCTGGGCCCCAGATGGACGACATTTGGCCAGTGGTGGCAATGATAACTTGGTCAATGTGTGGCCCAGTGCACCTGGAGAGGGTGGCTGGGTTCCCCTGCAAACATTCACCCAGCATCAAGGGGCTGTCAAGGTGAGAGGGGTTGGGATGAGGCTTTTGTACACTCCCTGGGAAGGGGAGATGGGCTGGCAGGATTGGACTGGGTTTATCTGTGACCCCAGTGGCTTTCTGTCTAGCTCTAGTACCTGTTGACCCCTTTATCTCATCTAGGCTGTAGCTTGGTGTCCCTGGCAATCCAACGTCCTGGCAACAGGAGGAGGCACCAGTGATCGACACATTCGCATCTGGAATGTCTGCTCTGGGGCCTGTCTGAGTGCCGTGGACGCCCATTCCCAGGTAGCCTTTTACCCATTTTCGCTCACTCTGGCGTGTTTTCTTGCTCTTCCTGAGCAACCATGTCCATTCCAATGGCCTCACCAGCTCCTTACTCTGATTCCCAAAGTTGTAACTCAGCTATGACTCATGAGTTCCATTTCCAACAGCCTGTGGCTTCTCTCCAGTCCTATGTCCTACAGGCACCGCCACCTCAGTGTGTCCCAAATTAAACTCGTCACTTCCCCTTTCCTCCTTGAACTGTTCCACCTTCTCCTCCCACATTGCTTCAGAATGGTAGAACCTGTTAGAAATCTGAAAAGCCTCCTACACTCCTTTATCCTCCTCACCAGAACTTATCGGCTTTGCCTCAGAGTACCATTCACATCTGTCCCCTCAGCCTCATCCTTCACAGCAGAGGCCCACTACATGACTTTCTCACTGGTCTCTAAGCACCTGGTTATTTCCTAACCTGTCCTCTACACTGTGGTCGGAGTGTTCCGTAACTGTCCTGCTTAAACTTGTAATGGCTTCTCGTCACCCACAGCATATAATCCAGATCCATGCATAAGCGATGTATTTTTTTTTTCTTTTTTTGGAGAGGTTTTTTGCTATAGGGCGCGTGCTCTCACCAGACAGACAGAGACAGAGAGACAGAAAGCAGGAAATCCACCCCCCCGGGGGGGTGGCCACACCGCAATCCCTTCTCCATTCTCCTCTCAGGATCTTGGGCATGCACGTACACGCATCCAGCATGAGTTTAAACCACCGAGTCTGGGACTCAAACCGCGTTCAACTACTTGGGAGTCCAGTGACATAGCCATTACACTAACCGCTGGTCCCCATAAGCAGTATTTGAGCCCCTTGTTGGTCTCCCTGCTGTCACTCCAGCTTCCTCCTCCCATTGTCACCATGCAGCCCTCACTTTAGACATGGGCTCTAAAGCCAGATGGCATGAATTGAAATTCTGTAAAATGGATAATAATTGTCTCTCAAAGGACTTTGCTAATAACAGTGATCATTCAAGTCCATTGGTAGCAACTGGCAGGATCCCTGACACCAGAAGGGACTTAGTCCCAGTGTGAGTAGCCTTGACCTTTGTCATGCAATGCCACCCCTCTCCACAGGTGTGCTCTATCCTCTGGTCTCCCCACTACAAGGAGCTCATCTTCTCCATTCTCCTCTCAGGATCTTGGGCATGCACGTACACGCATCCAGCATGAGTTTAAACCACCGAGTCTGGGACTCAAACCGCGGTCAACTACGTGGGAGTCCAGTGACATAGCCATTACACTAACCGCTGGTCCCCATAAGCAGTATTTGAGCCCCTTGTTGGTCTCCCTGCTGTCACTCCAGCTTCCTCCTCCCATTGTCACCATGCAGCCCTCACTTTAGACATGGGCTCTAAAGCCAGATGGCATGAATTGAAATTCTGTAAAATGGATAATAATTGTCTCTCAAAGGACTTTGCTAATAACAGTGATCATTCAAGTCCATTGGTAGCAACTGGCAGGATCCCTGACACCAGAAGGGACTTAGTCCCAGTGTGAGTAGCCTTGACCTTTGTCATGCAATGCCACCCCTCTCCACAGGTGTGCTCTATCCTCTGGTCTCCCCACTACAAGGAGCTCATCTCAGGCCATGGTTTTGCCCAGAACCAGCTGGTTATTTGGAAGTACCCGACTATGGCCAAGGTGGCTGAGCTCAAAGGTAGGTGACTTCAGTAGAAGATGCCAGACACAAAAGACCACATATTATAAGACTCCATTGTTGTGAAAGTCTAGAATATGCAAATCCACAGACAAAACAGATTTTTTTTTAGAGAGGTTTTTGCTATAGTGCGTGTGCACTCGCCAGACAGACAGAGAGAGACAGAGAGAGAGAAAGCAAGAAATCACCCCCCAGGGGAGATGGCCACGCCACAATCCCTTCTCCTCCATTCTCCTCTCGGGATCTTGGGCACACACGCACACACGCCCAGCATGAGTTTAAGCCACCAGGTCCGGGACTCGAACCGCAGTCGACTACGTGGGAGTCCAGCGACACAGCCATTATGCTAACTGCTGGTCCCCAGATAAAACAGATTAACAGTTGCCAGGGGCTGAGGAGAGAGGAGAATGGGTAATGATCAAAATATCCGTATACTTTTTTTCTTTTGAGAGGTTTTCGCTATAGGGCGCGTGCGCTCGCCAGACAGAGACAGAGAGACAGAAAGCAAGAAATCACCCCCCAGGGGGGATGGTCACTCCACAATCTCTTCTCCATTCTCCTCTCGGGATCTTGGGCACGCATGCACACACGCCCAGCGTGAGTTTTAAGCCACTGAGTCCGGGACTCGAACACGCGGTCGACTACGTGGGAGTCCAGCGACACAGCCATTATGCTAACTGCTGGTGCCCAGACAAAACAGATTAACAGTTGCTAGGGGCTGAGGAGAGAGGAGAATGGGAAATGATCAAAATATCCATATTCTTTAAAAGGATGAATTTTATGGTTTGTATATTACATCTGGTTAAAATTGTTACAAGAAAAAAAAAAATTTGAGGGTGTACCTACATTCATATGCACTGCTCTTACCTGCCCAGGTCACACAGCCCGGGTTCTGAGTCTGACCATGAGCCCAGACGGGGCCACCGTGGCATCAGCAGCAGCAGATGAGACCCTGCGGCTCTGGCGCTGCTTTGAGTTGGACCCTGCACGGCGGCGGGAGCGCGAGAAGGCCAGTGCAGCTAAAAGCAGCCTCATCCACCAAGGCATCCGCTGAGGACCAACCCACCCCCTCGGTTGTTTTCTTTTTTTTTAGTTTTTCTAATAAAGTCATGTCTCCCTCTCATGCATGACTATGTCCCAACGGCTTTCCCAGGAGCTGCCCTTACTGTGATCAGAGAATAAGAACTGCCCTGTGGGAGCCTCGACCTCCCTCCTGTTGTAGCTGTGTGTCCCACCTCCATCCACACATGTACAAACACAGCCCATGGTTTCTTCTGTCACTTTTAATAAGACACAAGTGAGTAAGCAGCCTCCACAGGCCGTATTCCCAGGCCCGCCACCCACCCTGACCTTTGGCCCAGAAGCTCCTGCTTCAGTGTGGGTTGGAGGAGGAGGAAGCCTGGGTCCACAGTGACAGATTATTGCTGACCTCTTCAGTGTGAGGAAAAAGGCCACAAGACCCTGGTGGGGGCCAGCCCTGAGTGCTCCTTCCGAGTTTAAGGCAGGGAGGGGGAAGTAAGTGTCCAGCCCTTTCAGCCCCCGTCTCTGGAGCGGCAGAGGGCAATAAGGCCACATCCCCTGGAGCTGGCTGGGAGAAGTGGGTGAGGAACGGAAGCAATGGTCCCTGCAGACCAGCTGTGGTGAGGGGAGGGCCAGTCCCCTGCTCAGTCCTGACCACATAGGCCCTGGTCACAGGTGAAGGTGGGGAGGACACTGACGGATGCTGCCCAAGGTGCAGTCCTGAGGCACTTAGGTGGGTGCTGTTCTAGGCCACGCTTCTCAGTTGGCCTTGACCTTGGCATTGGCAGTACCTGGAGCTCCATTTTGAAGTGCACGGGGCAACCGCTTGCCCTTGGTGTAAGAGTGATACCAGAAGTTGGAGAACAGCACGAAGAAGATGGTGCCATACATCCAGATGAGGTGGATAATAACTGGGTACTGGTAGTTACAGCTGGGCATGAAGTAGTACTGGGAGATGTGCAGGGAGACCAGGACGAACTGTATCTGCAACAGAACACAAGGGTCGTTAACAGTGAGAGGACAGGAGGGAAGGGGTACCAGGGTACCGAATGACGCTGAGTGAGAAGGAGGGATGGGGTCAAAGGCACGAGAGGCTGGATCAAGGCAGGATCAGGACTAGGAATCCTGGGAGTGGGGGGTGGGGGTTACTGGGCCACGCCGGAACCAGGACCCTCACCAGCTGGATGGCTGTCATGTGCTTTTTCCACCAAAGGTAGGGCTGAGCCACAGGGCCGAGGGCAGACAGTCCATAGTACAGGTACATGACAACGTGCACAGAAGAGTTTATCATGGCATGGAAAGACCCCATTCCTCCTGTGAGTGGACAAACAGAGTTGAGTCTTTGGACCCCAGTGCCCACTCCTCTTCCCCAAATGGCCTTCACTGCTTACCTGGGGCAATTTTTACCCCCCACCACCAGCTCCAGGGAAGCACTGAGTGATGGAAGACATGTAAGAAGGTCACCTGCCCATCTTTTTTCCGGAGAATAAAGATGACCTGGAGAAGAGTGGGGGAAGGATGTTCAGAGCCAGGGTCTCTCTTCCCATTTTACCTCCCAAGTTCTCACATCTCATGTATCTACTCACCGTGTCTATCAGCTCAATGAACTTGGAGAAGAGGAAGAGCCAGGCCACTCGGACCATCTGCAAGAAGTCAGAGCAGCCTTGGGACCCCACACATTGCTCTAATGGCCTCTCTAAACTGGGCCATGAGCACGAGTCACACCCAGCTTCTCTCCCCCCCACCCCCCAGGTAGCTATGACCTAGCCCCAACCTCTACTTACCCGGAGTGCCTCGGGGCTATTGGAATAGTCCACAGGGTCACAGCGCCAGGTATAGGTACTCAGCCAGCCAGACATCAGGAACTAGGAAGGAGTTGTAGATTAAACCACCAGAGAATCATCCTCCTGCAACCCCTCACCTCTAGCTGAAGAAACAGATCTGAGCCTCTCCAGTAAGGAGAGATGCTATGCTCTGGCCCTCAGCCCCCCTTATCTAGCTGCAGGGATTAAAGCCCACCTCATAGACAATGTAGAGGGAGAGCGCCACCAGTGAGAAGTTGTAGACGATCATGAAATTACGGAGCTGGAAAGGCTTCCGATTGGCCATGATGCGAGGCCCCAGTGAGAGAACGAAGTACACGTAGGTCAGGAGGATGGAGGTCATTAGCAGGGGGGACCCCATCAGAGGGTAGCCCTGGACCCGGGGATCTGTGAATAAGGATCAAAGGAGTCAAGAAGGGTTGCAAGGTTCTAAAGGTCCTTGCAGGTCTATAGACATGAGGTCAGGTCACAACGGGTCAAAGGGTGCACAGAGACTCCCTATCGGGAGACAGCCCCAGAACCAGGGATCCCAGGGAAGAAGGGAAGAGGGCTGGTGAGCAGCATCTTACCTGCATGCTTCAACATCTCCTGGAATAAGTTCACAACAGCGTCCATCCTGGCTAAGGACTCTGGGGAGGGGTGGAGGGTGGACGTCGGACAGGGCCCGCTGTGCACCTCCACCCCACATGTGACCCACAGAGACAAGACCCGGAACCAGACCAGACAGTTCCTGAGGCCTCGTCACAGCAAGGACAGAGGAACCGTGACAGGAAGGGATGGCTGGAGACCAGAGGCAGGAGGAGGCAGTCTGCTGGGGCATCTGTTCCCCACACATCCTGCCTGCCTGCCCGGGAAGAGCTGTCCTGTCCCACTCTTCCTCTCCAGATCGTACTCTCCTCTCCTCCCTCCTTGCTCCTCTCCAGTCTCACTTCCCGGCTTCCCTCGACCTCAATCTTCCTCCAGCAGAGAACTCTCAATTCTCTTTCAGGAGAGTCTCACCTCTCCACCAACAGGGAGTTCATCTCCAGAATAAACCTCCTTTCCCTTCCTGGACAATGTCTCTCGCCTCCCCAGCCCTGGTCTTTCTCCTCCAGGGGTTCTCTCCAGAGCTTCAATCACTCCTCTCCTATTCTATCCTCCCCTGTCCTCTAATCCCTTCTGGGACTCTGAGCTCCCCAAGGTTCCTCCTCTCCCCAGCCAGGGCTCACTTTCCTGGTCCCTTCAGTCTCTTCTGGAACCTTAACAGCTGGGGCAGGATTCCCCCTCTCCCTCTGCCTTCCTGGGGACTCTCACCTCCAGCCTCTCCGGTGCTCTCCTCTCCCCTCTCGGAGCCTTCCAGTCCTGGAGCCTGGCTCTTTGAGACTCCAGCCCTGGCGGCTCCACCTGTCTGACTAGATCTGGCAGCAGCCCCGCCCTCCGCCCGCCCCCGCTGTACTGCGCATGGGGTGGAGGGTGGGTCCAGGCCACAGGTCAGTGCCTGGAGGAGCAGGACCTACGAGGATTGGGAAAGCCAACTAAAGCCCCACACTCACCACCCACCCACCCACCCACCCAGGGCCAGCTAGACAAGCCAAGGGCCTAGGCCCTGAGCC